TGAATTCTTCAGTTCAGTCATTGTATTCTTCACCTCCGAAATTTGTGTTTTCATCTTTTTAATGTTTTCTGTCTCTTTGTTGAAGTTCTCATTTTGTTCTTGTGTTGTTTTTCTGATATCATTAAATTGTTTGTTTCCTTGTAGCTCCCTGAGCATCTTTAGAACAATTTTGAATTCTTAGTAGGGCAAATCCTGTATACCCATTTCTTTGGGGCCGGTTACTGGAAGTTTACTATACTCCTTTGGTGGAGTCATGTTTTCCTGATTCTTCATGATCATTGTAGCCTTGCATATGTGTCTATGCATTTGAAGAGGTAGTTACCTCTTCCAGTCTTTGTGGACTGACTTTGGTAAGGAAAGATCTTCACCTGCGATGGGGGCACACTGAAGTATGCCGTGACCCCTGGTTAGTGGTGCAGGACACCAAGTGCAGGGGCATGTGGTGGCTCTGGGTCTGGGGTGGGGTGTGGTGATTCATTGGATCAGGCCTTGGGGGGTGCACAGTGTTGACAATTTTGTGTTCTTTGATGAGCACTGCCAGCAGTCCACAGAAGCTTCAAAGGCTATAGAGATTCTTAGCAGCTCCTCCAGGTTTATCAGCTAGGGACCAGGGATTCAGCAGTAGTGGCCCAGGCTGGTGGTGTGCACACACTCGACTGTGGGGCCAGTTGCAAATATACATGTACTGGTGGGGGCCAGGGCAGACAGCAAGGGCTAGGTGCACTGGCAGCAGTGGGGGTCCTGGATGTTGGCGTGTGCTACTGTGGCTGCTAGATCTTGCCATGGACACATGGCAGTGGAGGCCAGTGACGGAGGTTAGGCTGGGGGTATGCAGGTGCATAGCTAGAGGGGCTAGCTGCAGGTGAGCCTAGTGGTGCAGGCCAGTGACAGAAGACAGGACCGGATCTGGGCCCACATGCAGCTGTGGGGGCTTGGCTATCATTGTGGTTTAACGTGGCTAAAGGATCTTGCCATGGTGTACACACAGCAATTCAGGCCGATGACAGGCGTTAGGTTTACCTGGCAGTATGTCATTGCACAGCTGGCGGGGCTAGCCCTGAGCACTTGCAAGTTGGTGGGTGTCATCTGCAGGAGTCTAAGGTGATATGTTGCATTCGTGCAGCTGTAGAGATATTAGCTGGCTGCTGGTGGGGGTCCCTGGCTCCCACAGGGGCCGAGTTGGGGGATAGGGAGTGGGGAGGGACTTCGGTGGCTGCTGTCAGCAAATGCAAATACATGTGGGGCAAAAGCTGGTGAAATTTCCAGGGATCTTCAGCAGCTATGATGGCCATTAGTTTCTTCTGTGGTGAGAGCTACTAGAGTTGTTTGCAGAGCAGGTCACTGGGAACCATGGTTGTTCCTGCTGCATGGCTGATATTGGTAGCCCCTGCTTTTCTTCTTTGTTCTTAGCAGTCTCTATTTGTCAGCTTTGCTGGTCTCTGGATGTGGTGAAACCAAAGCAGGTCCTTCATGTGGTGCCCCTAAAGGCTGGGGAAGCTGCTCACTCACCCTGCTCTCACTTTCCCAGTGAGGGGAGATCTTTCTACCCTCTTGGTACTGAGCAGTGCCAACTTGGGGGGTAGGATGATGCAGGCAGATTGAAGCTGTTCATCCTTCCCTTTTTCTGTAGTTATTCTCAAATTTTTGGTGACACCATGTTGCTGAAGTTTCTTAAGTGGACTCCAGAGCTCTCCCAGAGCTGTTTTTGTTCATGGAGAGCTGTCTAATTGTTGATTTTTGTGAGGGGCCGGAGGCTGGGGTCTCCTACACCACCATCATTGTGATATCACTACCCTTGAATCAAAATTTTCTTTCTTATTTAAACTTTGTTGAATCCCAATTTGTCTGTCTATGCTTCATTTCATATATTGCACTTTCTGCCAGCTGAGCAATGATCACTTATCACCAGCAATCTGATGGACTTGAAAAGAGTTAGGTTCCCTTTCAAGCTCTCCAAAGCTAGTTGCTTCATTTTCTTTAGCTATTTCCTAAAAAACATACTTAATTGGGTACTTTCATTCTCTCCTCTAGGCATCCCCAGTAGCTAAATAACCAGTAGCAGTACTAAATAGCATTCTTTTGTTTCTAGTTAAACTTTGAAATATGATACTTCCAGTGTTTCATGTACTCAACAAAAATTTATTCATTACATACTATGTACACATTATCTTGGAACTTGTTCTGTATAATGTAATTAACTATGACATAGGCATTCTATTTGAGGCACTTACACGTTGTACTCTGTTGTACTTGGTTTCAGTAGATAGACATGGTAGCACAGTTAATTGTAAGTTTGTGCTCTTCCAAAAGATGTCCAAGACTCTGATCCTATTTCTACCACTCATTCATTGTGCTATGTTAACATATATAACTTCTCTATCAATAAGAATTTTCTTCTCTAAGTCTTTTACATTTATTTACTTAATGTTTAATAAAATAGTGGTTAAAAAAATAATGACCAAATCACAACCAAGAGTATATCTACAAAAGTAACGAGTGCTGGATTGATTTTGAACTTTCCACTCCAGGTGTAAGGTTCAGGGGCTGACAAATTGTGACACTTATTTCTCAGTAGTATTGCTGCATTAAAAACATGAGAAAACATTTCTGGAAAATTATTTTTAACCCCTATGTAACTTGTATATTTAAGATAATATAAATGTCCCTTAGCATAGACTCTGATGGGTATTAATGTCTCTTGGTAATAGAGCACTTTGTATGTACTAGGTCTTCATATTCTTATCTGATTACATGTTACTATAAACACAAAAGACTATTTGGATTCATGTTACATATTTTTTCTGAAATGGAAGTCTTGAGACTCAGAGCTTCTGTCATTTAACAAGTTGACACAGATCCTAGTATCTGAATAACTTTCAAAAGTCAATCTTTTACAGAACTTTTTAGACCTAGAAATAGTTATAAAGGCTAATATTTTTATTGGTCATTTTTGTTATCTAAATCATATTTAATCCTAAATTTTTTTCAAATGTAATTCTGAAAACATATATTGAAAACTACAAAGTATTTATCAGTATTATTACCAATATAAAACTTCAGAGAATATTCTCTACTTTAATTTATATAAGTTTTTGGAGCCCTGCATCAGATCTTTATTGTTACATTTTTTCATTCTACTCAGTTCCTTAAGGGATATAATTAGCCAGTAAGATGACTAAGTAACACAAAGAATTATTTGGCCCAAGATGTCAGTACTGCCACTGTTGAGAAACCCTGCTGTCTAGGGTTTATATTATACATCTTTAATTTATCACAGTGTACCTTCACATAATGTTATATTCATGTGTAGCGTAAGAACCTTACAACAGCATACTTCGATTTCCTACCATCCTTTGTCCTATGGTTGTTCGTGTTTGCGTGTGAGAATTCCTTCCAGGCATTGCTCAGAAAGTTAATGTTTTTTTAGATCTTAAGAAAAACCAATTGAGAAATTGGAACAACAGAAAAAAGTATTATAGTTCTTCTGTAAGAATTAAACCTTAACAATCAACATGGAGATCTTAGTGGTTCACAGAATCTGCTGATGTCAAGTTGAAAACAAGAGCAGGAAATGATGGCATGTGGAGTTGAAGGTTAAGGTTGGCATTTCTGGGAACAGAGAGAAGTGGGTATGATCTAATCAGTTAGTCTTGCTTGTAACTGTTGCCATGTGTTTTGTGGCCCTGTCTACTGTTAATGGTGAGTCATTCTTGCAAATAAAATAAATATTAATATGCTGATGTGCATAGTATACTTATACAAATTCTATGAGTGGTGTTACAGAAAATAAAAAACAGTGTTTTTTTAGTGGTTTTCAAGAACAGTTTTCAAGAAGAATTAATTTCTAGGTTATGTAGGCTCTCCATTGCTGATAATCGTTGGGAATCGCACTTCTGTCCTAGTGACTGAACCTCTGTTGTATCGCCTGGGGTGGCAGTTGCTACTGTTGCTGCTACGGAGCAAGCCACCTAGAATTCCCTCTCTAATCTGCCAGTTTGGGGTCTGCCAGTTTGGGGGTGAGAGGAATTTATGTTTTATATGTTTAAATGGTTATTGTTGTGGAATGTTGTTGACATTTCAAGAACATCTGTACTTCAGATTATCTTTTCTAAGGATGATTCATAATTTTCTTACTGCTAAGATAGGAGTCTGTAATGAAATCCTAGCTTGTTTCTCCCAGCTGTTAAGGAGATGCATGAAAAATGAAGAATGTTCCTAATAATTGACCATATATGTGTGTATGTGTGTGTCTCTATATATATTTAAGAAAGGTACATTCTTCCCTCCATAACACAAATGAGTAAGAACTTGTACTCTGGAACCTAACAGACAAGAGTTGGCATATACAATTCCAACTCTATCACTTTACTACTTTGGCAAGTCTTCCCTTTCTGAACCTCATATTCTTCATTTTAAAAATATGTAAGACAGCAGCAATAAGAAGGAGAATAGCAACTCAATTCTTGGGGAGTTGAGAACAAAATGACAAAATGCATTTAAGTCTTAACAATGCTAGGCACAATAGCAGCATTTGGGAGACGTTACACCTTATCACTAGTCTATACAGAATGTAGTCCATAATCCTGGACAAGTGGTTATCTAACTACTTCTCACGTTCTTTCCTTTCCTTGAATGATTTTCAGCCTAACATGTTACCATAGGATAGTGACACCTCTAAATGTTGTCAATTCAGTCATGTGTCACTTAACAGGAATACATTCTGAGAAATGCATCATTGGGCGGTTTCGTCATTGTGTGAACATCATAGAGTGTACTTAAACAAACCTATATGGTATTGCTTACTATACACCTAGGCTATGTGGTACTAATCTTGTGGGACCTCTGTCATATATGCAGTCCATCGTTGACCAAAATGTCATCATGCATTGCATGACTGTAATTGTCTTGCGTTCTAACTGTAGGAAGCTGAAATATTTATCTTCTCCTTGAAAATTCTATTGATATTCTCATTTAACTACATGCTGTATGTTTTGCTTTAGGTCAGAGATGCGTGAGAGTGGAAGACATGGCAGAGAACTCGAAGAACATTTCTGCTTTTTAGCACTTCCTCAGAGAGATGTGGCTGAGATATATCGGAATGGGATAAGTACCAAGGCATCTACATTGAAGATATTAGGAAATCCTCTTCTTGGAATTTATATATTTAGACATGTTGATGTTGCCTTGAATTATGCTCATAGTAGAAGCATTACTGTAGAAAGTATTATAATTTTTAAGGTAGGTAGCATAAAAAAATAACATATTCAGTTTGCTTTAAATTGACCTGAATATATTTTCTTTTCAGTAAGATTTATTAGTGTTTTTAAGTTGCAGTATATGAAATAAATGATAATTATCTATCATCATTATCATCATTTGAAATTTCCCCATTTCTGACTCTAGTTGGGTGTACAGCATAAAACAAGACTCCAGGTAAGCAAAGGCAGCCTTTATCGTCCTTGTCTTCCCAATGTACATTTTTTTCTGTCCTAATTGACTGTCTTCTCTTTCTCTCTTTTATTCAGGCTATGATTAATACCAGAGTGTTTTAAGTGTCTTTCTCCAAGTCATTGATTATAATAATTCCGGCTTAAGCTAAAGTTACTAAACTCTGTTTATTTTAGTTAATAGTATTATACAATGTTAATTTCTTAGTTTTCATAATTTTGCCTTGCTCTTATGTAAGATGTTAACATAAAGAAAAGCTGGGTACAGTTATACAGGACCTCTGAACTATTTTTATGACTTTTCTGAAACCTAAAATTACTCAAAATTGAAAAAAATAAGTCTTATCCTTGAATGTTAAGCATCAACGGATTTTTTGAGATATACTTTTTGGTTAATTGCAGCTTTGCCAGGACTACTGAAATCACAGTAGGTAGGCAGGATCCTCAGCTGTGTAACAGGATGTGTGTATATCCATGTAAAAACCAATGGTTCATTTGGTATAATTCCTTTATTTTTAGACTTCAAATATTATTAAATTCATAAAGCATAATTTATTTTAATATTAAAAAGTAATACATACTGATTTTAGAAAGTTTAAAACATAGTAAGAAGCTCCAAAAAGCCTATTAATAACCACAATTAAATTTTTTGTGTATCTATACTTAGTCTTCTGTTCATGTATATGGATATGCATGTATAACTATAATTAAAATATGTCCTTATTTTATATACTATATAACTTGCTTTTTTTATTGATTATAAAATGAACATTGTCCATGTCATTAAATAAATATTCTTCTGTAATAACCTTTTGAATGACAGTATAGTATTCCACTATACAGCTCTACCATAAATTTGTATAACAAATTTTTTAATGTTGGGATATGTTATTTGGCTTTTTGTTTCTGTACTTTTAAATACTACTGTCATCATTCTTGTAGGTATGTTTTTACACACACTTATGATTGCTAAGAATTAATTGGTTAATTCCTAGGTGTCAAATTAGGAATCAAAGGTATATACACTTTTACAACCTTTGATATGTAATGCCCACTTGTCCTGAGCAAAGTTATACTATTTAACATTTCTATCCACAGTATGTGGGAATGTCTGTTCTCTCACACCCTCACTAACTCTGTATATTACACTTTTTTTTTCAAATCTTTGCCAGTCTGGTAAGTGATAACTTCATTGTTGGTTCAGGTTTTTTTTGTTTGGTTTTTTTTTGGTTTTTTTGTGAGGAAGATCAGCCCTGAGCTAACATCCATGCTAATCCTCCTCTTTTTGCTGAGGAAGACCGGCCCTGAGCTAACATCTATTGCCAATCCTCCTCCTTTTATTCCCCAAAGCCCCAGTAGATAGTTGTATGTCATAGTTGCACATCCTTCTAGTTGCTGTATGTGGGACGCGGCCTCAGCATGGCCAGAGAAGCGGTGCTTCGGTGTGCACCCGGGATCCGAACCCCAGGCCGCCAGTAGCGGAGCACGCGCACTTAACCGCTAAGCCATGGGGCCAGCCCGTGTTGGTTCAGTTTTTTTTCCTTTTTCAGAGCTGTTGCTGACTTGAAACATTCTGCATATATTCATTGACAATATTTAGTGAATTGTGTATTAATATCCTTTGCCAGTTTCTTGTGTTTTTTTTTCTTTTTTTTTCTAGTTAATTTTTGAGCATTATCAGTTCGTTAAAGCATATCTTGAGAGCTGGACTTTTCTCTGTATAGTGTTTTATCAATTAATGTTTTCATTTTTTTGAATAAACTTTTTATTTTGGAGTAAATTTAAATTTACAGAAAAGTTACAAAGATAGAATAGAAAGTTCCTATATACAATTTATCCAGCTTTCCCCAATGTTAACATTTCACATAACTGTAGCACATTTGTCAAAACTAAGTAACTAACATTGTATGTGTCAATTATATCTCAATAAAAAAATAAATAAAAATAATAAAATGAAAAGAAACTAACATTGGTACAGTACTATTAACTAAACTACGAACTTTATTCAGCTTTTTACGTTTTTCCACTAATGTTTTTTCTCTTCCAGTATCCAAATGTAGGATACCAGATTACATTTAGTATTGTTTTTAATTTTGAATGAATGTATTAACATTTAAAAATAACAGTATTAGAATTGCTGACTTGAAATAAAATGTGTACTTGTTTTCATAGTTGCACTTTCTTCTACCTTGTCTTTTATCACTTAATTATGTTCATGGTTTTTTTTTAATTTAATACTCACTTGTTTTTTTACAGAATATACATAATTTCTCTTATATACAGAAGTTTTGGAATATTTTACAGTGAAGTCTGGTTTTGGTTCATGGTTTCTTGGCACATATTTAGAAAAGAATTCTTTTTTTTTTTTTTTTAAAGATTTTATTTATTTATTTATTTT